AGTAAAAAGTAATTCATTTAAAATTGGATACAGGAGCAGATGTAACAGTAGTCCCCAGTAGTTATTTTAGAAAGAAAAAAAACTTCTAATTATTAAAAAATGTAACAAACAATTGTATGAATCAGGTTATCATCAGATAAAAGTTATCGGTCATGCGGAGGCTAGAAATTCCAAAAGCAAAGTCTAAACAGGATTTGTTTGTTATTGAAAATTTGAGGGAACGATTACTTGGGGGGCGGGGGGCATCAGCACTAAAAGGTCATAACCTACTGAGGAGGGTGATGTCTATAAAAAGTGAAGACCACAAATATAGAAAAGAAGTTCCAGAACTTTTCACGGGTCTTGGTAGACTCCAGAATAAATATATGTTGAAAAGAATGTGCCCAACCAATCTAACTCCTCGACGTTTGCCACTTCTTATGAAGAAAAAAAAGTCTAGGAAGAGTTACAGCTTTTAGAAAAAAATAAAATCATATATGTCCGGTAAAAATACCAAAAAAACTTAACCAGCCAAGGCCGGCGCGTCTTACCCCCCAAAACTCCGACCGAGTGAGTCTGCCTGTCAAACATGTTGTAGTGTGGCCTATATAATTATTTACGAATTTTGATTGATCAGGAATACAATTCCTTAATGGGCAAACTCACTCTACACCTTTCTGACCATAGCTCAGTTAGATCCCATTTAAATATTCATGGAGACCTACCGGACACTATTCGTAACATACTTGTTGACAACACTAATATAATAGCATCATCTATATGCAAAAATGGCTAAAAATAATGGAATCCTTATTAATAAAAACAAAAAAAAAACAACACTTAATAATATTAACTTTGAGCATGGATATAATATGTAGACTGTGTTTTGAAAAATGAAAACATTTTATAAAACATGCATACAACAAACTATTTATTATTTTAACAGTTAAAATATAATCCTTGAAAATAGCTAAATGTATAGCCGAAAGCGCTTGGATAAAAAGAACATTCGGACATTTTTTTATATAATTTATCACCCGAAAGGAAAAAAATATTAGATCGCATGAGAAATTGTATAAAAAACTAAATAAAAGCACCTTGTCTGTCGTTTTTAAATGAAATGTACATGAAAGAAGGATTTCTGCCTAAATACACAAATACATATATATATAATTTTAACAAACATCTGCTTTCTGGCTTGATCATAATATGTCAATAGTGAAAAAAATGTTCACTGTTGTTGTTACCAAATATCTAGGCTAGATAAAACTGGAGTATATTCTGTCTAGTATGTTCTTATATCAAAACCAATCTTACGACTTCTACTGATGATGCTGAATGTATTTAAATTTAGTTTGTTTTTAGTCTGACTCATCGACAAGAGCAATAAAAGTTATTTTAGTCATTAGTCATAATGTTATTTTGTAACCTTAAGATTTATTTGTACAGTCGAATATTACTTATCTGTCTTAACCGAGCTAACTGCACGCAGAATGTGTATTTTTTCAATTTCCTTTTGTTCCATCCGTAACACTTTTCAAGAAGGAACAAGACAATACTTAGGCTTAATGAAATACATTTTCATATTTTATAAGCTTTAAAAGCAGTGAACAAATAACACATTTTAGCAGTAAGTACTAAATGTGTTTAATTGTTTTCTAAGAAAAAAAATTCGGATATCTGAATTTTTTTTCCATGGGTAATAATTAGTATTTTTTTAAATCATTTCTTCCCTAACAAGGCGATAACACTACTAAGACGCAAGGGGTAACCGGGAGTGAAAGAGAATGAGAAGACTTATTTGATGAGAAAGGACAATAAAAGAACAGGTTTCAGGAAAACAGAAGATGGCGATAATCCCACTAAGACGCAAGGGGTTACTGGGAATGAAAGAGAATGAGAAGACTTCAGTGAGGGGAAAGGACAATAAAAGAACAGGTTTCAGGAAAACAGAAGATGGCGATAATCCCACTAAGACGCAAGAGGTTACTGGGGGTGAAAGAGAATGAGAAGACTTTAGTGGAGAGAAAGGAAAATAAAAGAACAGGTTTCAGAAAGACAGAAGATGGCGATTGACATTGCATTTAGATTTTTGAAGATCGTAGATGACATGCAAGAAATGAAGACATCAGAAAATAACTTAATTGCACAATAGCTATTTCAATAGTAAAACGATAAGACATATTCAGTCAGTTATGTGCCATCCGTGATACAAGCTTAGGCGATCATGTATCTTTCGATACATGACTGACGAGGCAGATTTTTTTCCAGCAGTAGGTTGCCATTTCTTTCTGCGGAAGACCAGTTGCCATCCAAGGCTATAGAACCCTGTCTGTCCTGCTATTTATCCATATCTGGGGAGAAGAGGATTCATACCTTTCCCAAGGGAAATGTATGAAAGGTATTTACGTAAGTGAATGTAATGGATTCGACTGGAATTCGATCTCGGCTTTCCGATTCTTCAATCCGAGCCGTTATCCATTATTCCACCGTGAGACATATTAGCTAATCTATTAGTACCTAGGTGTCAACCTAATAGTATATATTACTTTCTTGTAATGTTATAACTATCTTTGTTTTATTATTTCTAGTCATTTGATATTGTCCCTCAATATCTTATTATGTGTGTGTGTGTGTGTGTGTGTGTGTGTGTGTTATTGTTTGACCTTAACTATCCTACCGTGTCAACCCAGAACAATCAAAATAACCATCTTTACTCCAATAATAATCTTTATTCTTACTTTCTAGCGTAAATGTATTGGAAATTCTAATCTATACACTTACTAAACTGTGTACATCTCCCATAACTTCCTCCACGTATTGCTTAATACCACCCATTTTAAGCTACGTGGTCACCCGGTACTATGATGACATTAGTAATAGTTATAGTTCATACCAATAATAATCACCAGGATGACGATGACGCTTTACTACATCAGCAATTGGTTTCTGTGACCATAGTAAGATAACTTTTGTTAATCAGTAAAGTATGAGTAAACATTCTTTGGTGATAGTGTATTTTCTTAAATGCACATTACAGGAAAGGACAAGAAACTAACAGACAGCAATAAACTAACATTGCGCGATGTACTCTGATCAGAAATTCAACGCGGGCAGAAGAGATATTTCAAATACATAACAAAATTTAAGTCAATTAACACTGATAGGTTCTTGTTTAATGTCAATAACGTGCCCATAAATCGTTGAGGGTTATTAAAAATACAATAAGAAGATAGGCCTTTACTTTTGATCACTATGACAATAGTTGATGTAATAACAGATTATTCTGAATAATTACTTAGATTTGATTGGTATCGATCCAAGCCCAAATTTGAAGAATACTACTGCGGGATATTTCCAACAAAATATTTTGCAAACCACTTTTGAAACGTTTGGTCATCCATATTACCTCATCCATAAACGGAACGAATCTTGTCCTGTGTTTGAGTTGCCTTTCTACCTTTCTTAAAATCAAAATAAAATCCCACTATGCCAAAAATGTTGCTTATTTTCTTATAGCTTTAACGTTAATATCAATAAACAAAAATATGCAAGTTTTGACGATTCATTAAAAGTAAAATTGGCACTGATATGATAGCTGTCACAATTCAATCAATAGCAATATTTTTAATAATTTAATTAAGACCAGGTATCCCTAACGCAGTATAATGGGGAAACCCACTCCCAATAGAATGCTCCCAGTCATTAATCCGTTCAAATTTATGGCTAACCGTTATCTTCTCCACATATCAGCATAATCTGTTCATCTTACTCTGTAACCCTGTAGACGAGTCTTGTACAGGGTGCCCATCATTGTGCAAAAAATTTAATAAGACTTGAGAATTCTGTTAGTTGCGGAAGCTCTCAACCTAGCCAATCTTAGCGCACTAAACAACAATAAACTTTCAGATTGCACTATTGCTAATGGAAACTGTGGGTATAATTTATCGACATCCATTCATAACATCAAACAGCGTACAGAATTACCGAGTATGAAATGATTGACTAGGTCAAACCTTTATGACATTAACTTCGACAACAGTAAAAAAAAAAATATGCAAATGTCTATTGCTAATCACAAACTCTATCAAAATCAATAAAGAATAATGACAATAAACATCTGACTTTTGAACTTAAAGTTAGCCGCTGGTTTATTCATTTTTATAGTGGTATTTTTACTAGATATAAATAGAGATATTTTATAACAGAACTAAGACGTACATAAATGAAATAGTACAATAACAATAATAATGTTACATAAGGAAATAATTTTAAGTGCATCAATAATAAAATAAAGAGAATGTGTCATTTGAATAAGAAGAGATGTATCCTGATTGTTTTAGGCGTATGGAAATAGCAAGCTAGATATTTAAGAAATACTTAAATAGAAACATAAGTAAATAGATATATAAATAAATATTTAAGAAATGCATAAAGCACTGTGCGTGACATAAAATTCTAGACGCCCCACTGTGTTATAAAAACTGAGATATTTCCAATAATTGTATATACGAAAATAAAGTTTACACTTTTCAGGTTCATGAGAACATGAAACTTTAAGGAAATACAGTCATCATGATAGTATAAAGGAAAAATGATGTAAGAACAAGGAGGAGGAGAAAGAAAGCAGAAGACGAATTATATGAAAGGATAAGATGTTAAAGTTAGAAAAGAAAGAGTGGGAATAACAGACGAAGTATAATTTAGAATATAAGCAAATAGAAAAAGGAAAACGAAAAAAAAATGAAGAGAATGTGGGGGATTGATTGACTGTTTTATTTTTTATGGCTTTTGCAGGTTATTTAAAGTCAGAAAATATTTTTAGAATATAAGAATTTTAAGGGGATAACAAGGATTTGCTGATACTAATTAACCCATAGTTTTGGGGAAAATGATGGTTTCGTAGCTTTCCCAAGTCTGTTTGCGCGTAAGTGAATTTAACGAACCCGACAAGAATTGAAACTCGGCTCTCTGATCTCCAATTCCGAGAAGTTATACGTTACACCAGCCGAACATCCAAGCTTACATCACCTGGTATTACCAAGTGGTCACCCGTCTAGGTACTAACCAGGTTCAACGTTGTTTAACTTCGGTAATCGTACGAGAACTAGAGTTTCAACGTGATACCGCTGTATGCCAGAATGTGGAGGATTGGATAATTATTAAGAAATCGATAGAGAAAAACATGGCGGAAGGAGAAAAAAATTAAATAAAAGAATTTGTAAAGGAGAAGACTTGGAACAAAAGAAAAGATGTGAAGGGAATTAGATGAAGACGTTGAGAGTTGATAAGAAATGGAGAGTAAGAGAGTAAAATTGAGAGTAAGGTGGGAATGGAGGGTATGAGGGTAAATGGAGAATAAGCGGATAAAATGTAGAGTAAGAGGATACAGTGGAGAGTAAGAGGGGAATGGAGAGTAAGAGGTAATGATAAATTAGCTGAAAGAAAGAATGAGGATGAGAGAAAGGTTTTGAATAAGACAAAAAAGAACAAGAAGGAAATGGCTTCCTGGAATATACGAAGGAAATCCTAAATGTAAAGTACAACAATTTACAAATCAAACATGTTTATTAGTCTATAAAAACAATACTGTACATAGGTTACCGGAACTTCTATTCCATCTAGTTGCCATGAAGTTTGAAACACTTTACTCCTCGGTGCACGAGCGTATAAATACTTACCTCAGAGGATAGAGGCACCCTTGCATCACTGCAGCAATAGCGTCATCTATGTGAAACCACATCCTGGATAAATTTTATTTGAACACCTTCCCTCGTTTTTTCCAGCGCTTTTGTTTGGGGATGCTGTTCAAGAGCAGCATATATTCTGAATAACAGAACACAGTTTGATTTTTAACCATTTCCCCCCGAAAAAGGCGATAATGCCACTAAGGCGCAAGGGGATACTGGGAATAGAAAAGAATGACAAGACTTTAGTGAGAAGAAAGAACAATAAAAAACAGGTTTCAAGAAGACAGCAAATGGCGACTGACGTTGCATATTAATTCTGGAAGATAGTAGGTGAAAATCTGGAGGGATTTTCAGAGGTGAAAAGTGCGCGAAAATAAACTATTATAATAGAAATTAGAATTACATCTAGATAATTCACAAGTAAAATGATGAGACCTAGTTGCCAATCTAGTAGTACGCTGAAGTTCATGTAGTCGATGTACCAAGGAGAAATCGATAGAACAACTACATATAGAAAAAAAAAACAAAAGAAAGCTACATCACGGCGGTGGGAAAGTGATTGAAATCGATATGCCAGGTCAGGACAGTTAAAACTACAAACCTTTCTTTGGATTTTGTCGAGAATCTTTGTGATATATTCCCGGAGCACAAAAGTAGATATGGCAACAATATTCAATGCACGAAAGAATAGTAGATTTATAAATCTGCAAGAAAAATTGTCCGACACGATACAGTGAACCAATCTTTTTTATAGTAGACATAGACCAAGTTGTCATCAATTTCTTAGCTTACTACAGAACTTTGAATTTTTTGATGTCGGCGGTAACAATCCAAGATCATGAAATCACGTGTCTCTAGGATAACATGACGTACCCAGATTTTATTACCCGTAATAATGTGATCCAAAAATTCCCTATACTCTTCTAAAAATTGAAAAACAGCGCATGCGCTTACCATTACATCCTTTGAGGCCTAAAGTCTGACTTTTGTCATTAGTGTCCAAAAATCAATATATTTCACACCTCTGTATTTGTACACTTTTGTATAGTAACACTTATCTTTGTTATGACGTTTCATAGGCATGTACTCAATGTTAAGGCTGTTCTGTCTGTAATAAGAAGTATTGTATACTTCCCTTTAACTTTGTGTTTACAGTGTTCACAATAATTAATATTTCAAACATACCGCGTATTTCAATCAAATTTTTCTTAAATTATTTAAATTGCGTATATGCTACTATATGGTATTCATTTCTGTAAGTTAACTGCCGTTGTGTTAGCGGGTATTACTGAAAGTCTGCCAAGCTTTATGTAGGAACAACGAAGCTCGTTTTGTTACTTTAGATATATCGAAAGTATTTGACAGGGGTTGACATACTGGTTTTCTTCACGGTGTAATGGTATTTATGGACGAATTTTTATTTGATGCAATTTTTCTTATCAAATCAAGTTGAATGGCCACTCTTCTAGATCTTTTAACATTAATGAGGTCTCATCCAGGACTTTTTACTTTGATCAGTTTTGTTCCTAATTTAAATTAACGACCTTCCTGGGGGTCATCATTTCTTGACTCAGTATCTATGCTGATGACACAACTATTTACTCCTGGCATTCAATCTATGACAAAATAACTAGACTAAAATGTTAATTACGGCAAAAACGCATCCAAAACGAAACTTCTGTCTTTCAATCCTTTCAAAAACCTTTCTTGCCTTCCATCAGCATTCAAAAATGCAATGTCAATCATCATCTACTTTTATTGGCTTTTTTTCTCAATAATGTTTTCGTAGTTTTTTTTCAATCTTGCGTATTAGTAGCTTTACCACATTGCTTGAGGTGAAATTATTAAAAAAAACAGAAAACATTTCTTCGTAACTTTGTCTACTACTAGTCCTACACCCCTTTCATATTTTTTACTACTTATATATATGATCCTGTATCCGTTGACCATCTCACCTAGTTTCGCATTCATTTAGAATGTCAATGCTAATTCTGCACATTTCCTGCTTGACATTTCTAACTGCCTGTAATGTTCTTTCATTCCAAGACCCGAGGAAAAATTTCGTTGAAAATAAAGAAAAGAATGTTCACTTGTTATGTAATGTCAATCCTCCTATATGTATTGACATTTTCTAACAGCCTGTAATGTTCTTTCGTTCAAAGACCCGAGGGAAATTTCGTTGAAAATAAAGAAAAGACTATTCACTTGTTATATAATGTCAATCCTCCTATATGTATTGACATATAGGAAATTGTTTTGAAGAAAAAAATAGGAGAAAGAAATCCTTCGAATTTGGGGGAACTAAAAAATACTGTCAAGGAAGAATGGTGTATGTGTAATGATCTTATAAGGAACTATCAAAAATGATTAAAGGCAATAATCAATAATAAACGTTGCACAACTGATTTCTGAGGCAAGAGCGCCAATAATTTTGTCCGATGATAAATGTTTTTGGTGCATTTATGTATCAGGTTATCCCATAAGTTCTGTCCAAATTTTGAACGAAATCTAAAGAGTATTTTATAATGTCTAATGGAAATGAATATTATTTTTATGTTTAGATGCATTTAAACTGATCAAATTTTATTCCAGAGAACAATAAAATAAATTTTGTTTGATTAAAACCCTGCTAACATGGAAGTACCCAAAAATCATTTGAGGCACATAATGCTTTTTATGAGTTCAAGAAAGGAAACTCAGCAGCCGAAGCGGCTAGAAACATTCACTCAGTTTATGGAGAGGAATGTGAATGAAAGAACTTGCAGAAGATGGTTTGCAAAATTCAGAGGTTGAGATTTCACCCTTGAAGATGAAGATCGAACCGGATGTCCAGTTGAGTTTGATGAAAAGCTTCTTGAAGCAGCCCTTGAAGAAAATCCTGCTTTATCAGTTGAGGAATTGGCAGTGGTTCGCAGTTCAAACCATACAACTGTTCATCGTCATCTTCAATAACTTGGAAAAGTTCCTAAACTTGGAAAATGGGTGCCTCATGAATTGTCTGAAAACAACCTCAAATCCCAAGTTGACATCTGCTCGTCTCTCCATTCTCGCCATCTTTTTTCACCTTTTTTGGATAGACTTGTGACTGGCGACGAAAAATGGATCTTTTATCGAAATGTTAAGCGTCGTAGACAGTGGCTTGGTAAAGGGGAAGGACCCCAGCCACAGCCGAGAAGGGACCTTCATGTGCAAAAGGGTCTTCTTTCAATCTGGTGGGATCGCCAAGGAATAATCCACTTTGAATTCTTACCACCTAATGCAACAATTAATGCTCAAATATACTGTCAGCAATTAGAGCGTTTGAACCAAGCTTTGAAGAAAAAGACCTGCTCTAGTGAATCGAAAAGAGGTGATGTTTCATCAGGACAATGCACGACCCCACACAGCAAGAATCACGTCACGAAAGATCGAAGAACTTGGTTGGGAGAAAATTCCTCATCCACCTTATTCTCCCAATCTTGCTCCTCCAGACTACCATTTGTTTCGTAGCTTACAGAATCATTTGGAAGAAACAGATTTTGTAACACAGGAAAAGGTTAAAACTGACATTTGTGAGTTCTTCGAATCAAAGCCAAAAGAATTTTACAGTAATGGAATTAGTAAGCTTGTTAATAGATGGAAGGAAGTCATAGATAATCAGGGAAAATACATTGTTTATTGAATCTGTAATTAAATGTAACATTTGGTCACTTGTTTTCTTTATTCAAAATTCGGACAGAACTTATGGGATGACCTGATAGTAAGCTTGTTAATAGATGGAAGGAAGTCATAGATAATCAGGGAAAATACATTGTTGATTGAATCTGTAATTAAATGTAACATTTGGTCACTTGTTTTCTTTATTCAAAATTCGGACAGAACTTATGGGATGACCTGATAGTAAGTTTGTTAATAGATGGAAGGAAGTCAGGGAAAATAGATAATCAGGGAAAATACATTGTTGATTGAATCTGTAATTAAATGTAACATTTGGTCACTTGTTTTCTTTATTCAAAATTCGGACAGAACTTATGGGATGACCTGATATTATTGTTTGACATTAAAATCAAAATTTCACTGCACTTTCTTTCAAATCCACTATTTAATCATTTGTGAAAAAATGAACATGATGTTTCCATGCAAATTTGAGGTATTACAACTTTCTTTGTAATTATGGAAGTGGGGCAGGGGAAGTAATTCTCTATACGATTATATATAGCTACATATATATTTAATATATTTTCTGTTTATACGTTATTTATATAGATACAATTTATTTAAGTAAATGCTCTGTTTTTTTAATTAAACAGTATTAATTACATTTACCGGCATGAATGTTCGAGAAATTTTCCGACAGGAATCGAATATGTATTCCTATACAGAAACCGTCATTTGATCCGACGTGGTATAACATTTAACTACAGAGAAACGTCTGGTTAGCAAAGTTCGAATTAATGTTTTTAAACATACAATCATCAACAACTTTACATAATCAATCATATCTGCCCATGAAACATATCTTAACGTAAACAATGATAACATATTAGGAAATGGATTAACTCCGACAATTATTTAATATATTTTCTGTTTATATGTTATTTTTATAGATACAATTTATTTAAGTAAATTTATTTAAGTGGGACTTGATTTTTTTCTTTTTTCAGATTCATGAATTTAATTTTATTTAATATTTAATTTTGATCATTAAACTCGTTCATTTTTAGACAACTAGTATACACACACACACACACACACATATATATATATATATATATATATATATATATATATATATATATATATATATATATATGTATGTATGTATATATATATATATATATATATATATATATATAATCGAAAAAACCTTTGTTAAAATCGGACATTAAGGTCTATCTGTTAAATTTTTTATTACATTTTTCCATTTTGCGTATAAGTTGTAGGAACAAATTTATGCAGATATTCTCAGATGAAATTTATAAGTTGTCCGATCAAATATATAAAATACTGGATCAAATTTATAATTTTCTATTCAAATTTATAGGGTGTATCAAATTGATGCAAAAACTGTCGAATCAAATTTACAAATGATCGGATCAAATTTTCAAGTTATCGGGTCAAATTTATTCAGAATCTGTCGGATCAACCTTATAAGTTGTTGATTCAAATTTATAAATAGTTGGGTGAAATTGATGCAGAAACTATCGAATCAAATTTAAAATGATCGGATCAAATTTACAAGTTATCGGGTCAAATTTATTCAGAATCTGTCGGATCAACTTTATAAGTTATTGATTCAAATTTATAAATAATTGGGTGAAATTGATGCAGAAATTGTTGAAAGTTCATAATATTTTGGGTTGAGCATATTCTATCATGAATGTCAATGTTATTATTGCCATAGAGATAAATATACCTATTAAAACACGACAAGTATGAATATGAATTATAAGCTAGTAGCAAATAATCTTGTGAAATTAATGCATGAAATGATTTCCTTGAAGAAGTAAAAAAAATGAAAGAAAATCTATCTATCTATCTATCTATCACAGTTTGTTCATTATCTATCTATCTATATATCTATATATATATATATATATATTAATTAAGCTCTTGGAAATGTATTTCAATTGAGCGGTGTTGAGAAATAGATTGATTCTATAAACAGCAAACACCTACGCTAATGCAAAACTCTTCAGTAAAAATGAATTGGAGCACTCTGACTGACTGGTGTTTGCTTACATTCGTAAAAACAATACGCTAGAATTAGCTGTTTCTCTCTGCCGAATGATGATGGCTTAGAGGTAGAAACTCTGACTGACAACAAATAGGTCGGGTTTCGGTCCTGGATTGAGGCATTCGGATGTTTATTCGCACTGAGGAGCTGTGATACAGTGAAACAGTACTGTCTGCGAATGACACACATATGTTTCATTATATGTTGTCATTGTTTACGTTAAGAGACAATTGTTAAAGTCTGTAACTGCTCCCTGTAGAATAATTTCCTACCTAGACTTGTTTTAAACTGGTATTAGTTCTAGAAATACAAATTACAAGCTGTTTTGATACTTTTCTTAACTTTACTTTACTTTTCATGTCCTTTCAAGAAGTGAGTGACCATGGCTCTCTACGACTTACTACGTTTCTTCTACTAAGTTTAATTCATTACTATCTTTTCCTGTTCCTTTTCTCATATTCATTTACACAAACTCTTTAACTATGCTACTGCTTTTCTCTGCCTTTAATATGTTCTCTGAGTATCAAATTCTTTAAGCCTTCTTTCCTTATTTTGTGTCCCAAAATTTTGAACTGGCTCTGTAGTTCTTATTTCTATTAATACTTATTCGTTGCATTTATTGTATTCTCAGAATTCTTTTGCAGAATAATTTTTTATTGCCTCAAGTATCTTCTTCATCTGTGAGGAAATTATCCATATAGGAGGATTGACATTACATAACAACTGAACATTCTTTTCTTTATTTTCAACGAAATTTTCCTCGGGTCATGGAACGAAAGAACATTACAGGCTGTTAAAAAATGTCAATACATATAGGAGGATTGACATTATATAACAAGTGAATATTCTTTTCTTTATTTTCAACGAAATTTTCCTTGGGTCTTGAAATGAAAGAACATTACAGGCTAGTCCAGAAGCAGCAAAAAATCCCCAGAGCAGAATGCTCCCATCACAGTGCTTAATAGTAGGGAGTATTTTTTGGCCTGTGAGTTTCATTCACTTTCCTCCATACGTAACGGGAGTTCATGTGACCAAATAATTCTAGTTTTGTTTTCATCTGACCATAAAATATTTACTCCCATGTTCAAGATGACTTCTACCGTAAGCTAATCTGCATTTTAGGTGTTTAGCATTAAACAAGGGATTTTTCTTTGGATGACAAGTCCTGCTTGATGAAAACATCTAGTGACTGTCTTTGTCGATACATTCAACCATTAGGTGTTTACTTTATTGACAATGTCCTTTTTCGTCAAGTGAGGATTCTTTGAAAAATATCTAACAATCTTCTTTACTATTCTCTCAGCAATTAACCATTTTCTGTCAGTCCTTAATTTATTCTCAACGTAATGAGTCTCGTTGTACATCCTGATAATGCCAGGAACATTGAAACGCTTGGAAAGTGCTGTATATATATATATATATATATATATATATATATATCCATCACCTTGTTTGTATGCATTACCTATCTTCATACGAAGCTTCTTGTCAAATTCAGCCATCTTCGTCATGGTTGCAGAACGAATTAGTTATCGCGGTACGTGACACTCAAATATTGTCTTTTCATTACCTTTTACAATGTTATAAAATCAGGTCAATACTATTTCATTTTCAAAGGTTGTTTGTATTAAATGTCAAAAAACATTACAATTGCTATAGAGAAATATTATTTCATAATTTCCACAAGGGGGTGGGGAAATAATTTGGGACTGCACCAATTTTTAGAAAAACTAAAAATATGACTAGAAAAATCTATAACTATGAATTCGAAAATGAATCTATAAGTAGATCGAAAATTCTAAAAATGCGACGAATTATTCAAAACTAATTACGGAACCAACTATTGTAAATTCAGTAAGTACTTGCAAATATTCGCGTTTCCTTAGAAAAGATGTAAATATTCAGTCGGGATGAATAATTCTGTTCACAACTCTATTTCTCTCTCTCTTTTTCTCTCTATCTCTCTTTCTCTCTCTTTCTCTCTCCCTCTTTATATATATATATATAATAATAATATTTTTTTTTTTTTGTCAATGGAAAGTGCCATGATGCCATTTCTAACCTTAGGTCCCTGGACGGGACCCGGAAAGAAATGTGTAAACGCCAGAAATCAAAGAAAATAATAATAATAATAATAATAATAATAATAATAATAATAATAATTCTGGGTGAAGAAGACACTCATATAAATCTCAATGAAGCAATATATGCATCAGCAATAGCAGCAACAAATAAACTGAACATCAAAGTAAAAAAAAGGCAGTCTCACAGACATGAAGATCCACCTTGGAAAAGAAAAATAGAAAAAGAAATTGAACACCTTAGAAGTGAATTATCAGTACTCGATGAACTAGCAAGAGGAGTAAATGTAAGAACTAGAAAAGGCAGAAGAGTCGAAAGAAAATACAATATCAGGAATGAAAATGAAGTCCTATCAACTAAAAGAAAAATAAAGCAAACAATACAACTGAAGGCTCAAAGAATAAGACGCTACGAGAAAAGATCAAGATTCTATAGACAGAACAAGATCTTTCAAACCGATGCAAAGAAATTTTACAGGGAAATAGGTAAACAAAGAATTGAAGTGACAGTCCCCTAAAATGGAAGAAGTTATACAGTTCTGGGGAAAAATATGGGCTTGCCCTAAAGAACACAACGAAGAGGCAGATTGGATTGCGCAAGAGTTAGAACGAATGAAAAATAAACCAGAACAGACATGGGCGGGAATCACAGAAGAAGATGTTAAATGTGCACTGAAAAAAGCACACAACTGGAAATCTCCAGGAATAGATAAAATTCCTAACTTCTGGCTATATTATTTAAATACAGCACACAAAAACTCGCCAAAGAACTTCAAGAAATGGTTACCGATCCAACTAAAATTCCTGCATGGATGACCAAAGGAGTTACCTTTCTTCTACCCAAAAATAGTGACACAAATATTCCGAAAAACTATAGACCAATTACATGTCTTCCAACAACATACAAACTGTTAACATCTATTTTAACAAAACAGACATATTTCTTCTTGGAAAGAAATGACATACTACCACTTGAACAAAAAGGGTGCAAACGAGGCTGCTACGGATGTAAAGACCAATTACTTATTAATAAGATGATCCTGGAAAACTGCTTCCGTGAAAAAAAAATCTTAGTATTGCCTGGATAGATTATCGTAAAGCATTCGATAGTGTACCACATTCCTGGATCTTAAAGTCTTTAAGTATGTACAAGGTATCACCCGTTATCATCAATTTCATCAAACAATGTATGTCGATATGGAAAACTACACTTTACCTCAATCATAAAAATGGAACCTATAAGTCTGGCGAAATAAACATCAATAGAGGAATATTTCAAGGTGACTCTTTGTCTCCTTTATTATTTTGCATATCACTTATAGCATTAACCAGCCAACTTAACAAGACAGAATGCGGTTACAAAATAGCTCAAAAGAAAATAAACCATCTATTTTACATGGATGACTTAAAATTGTATGCTAGGAATGACAATGAGCTGGAAGGTCTTCTGCAAACTGTAAAATGCTTCAGTGAAGACATCGGAATGAAATTCAATTTGGATAAATGTGCTAAAGCTACAGTTTTACGAGGATCGCTACAACAAACTTCCTCTATTAGTTTAGACCCTGCTGTAACAATAAAAGATTTAGAACAAGGAGAAGCTTATAAGTACCTAGGTGTAAATGAGAGTGAAGGAATTCACCATAAGAAAATGAAAGAAATAGTGCGTAAAAGAGTACTATAGAAGGGTACGACTGGTATTAAAACTGAATTGAATTCTCAGAACAGAATTATGGCCATTAATAACCTAGCCATCCCAGTGGTCCAATATAGTTTCAACATCTTGAACTGGACTCTAAATGACATCAGACAAATGGATTCTAAAACAAGGAAGCTTCTTTCTAAGTATAAGATGCATCATCCAAAGGCTGATGTAGACCGTCTATACATACCCCGTAAAGAAGGTGGAAGAGGTCTTATTCAGCTAGAATTGTCATACAAGACAACTATTGGCTTACTAACACATGGAAACAACAAATGACTGGATGATAAAATTAGTGAAACAACATGAAAACAGAAAGAAAAAATATTCAATAATAAAAGAAGGCAGTAAATACAAACAACATTTACATTTAGTAGATTCTTTAGTAAATCAAAACAGAAGCCAAGAACCAACTATTGCAGCAAAAGATATGAAAAAAGAAAGCCAAGGATAAAGCCCTTGAACAGATGAAACAACGCTGGCAAGACAAACCTCTGCATGGCCAATATCCAGAACGTGCAAATAAACCCAATGTTGATAAAGTTAATACTCATCGATGGTTACGAGCATCTGGATTAAAGTCTGAAACTGAAGGCTTTATTCTTGCAGCGCAAGACCAGAGTCTTTTCACTAGGAATTTTCAGGCAAATATCATACATAATAATGTGGATCCAAAATGCAGGTTCTGTGACAAATACCAAGAAACAATAGACCATCTAATCTCAGGATGTTCTATACTTGCCCCAAATGAATATAAAATCGTCACGATAGAGTGGGGCAATACTTACACTGGACAATGTGCAAACACTTTGGAAAATGTGTAAGCAAACACTGGTATGAACATCGGCCAGCGCCGGTTACAGAAATAGAAGATGTCACCATTCTATGGGATTATACCATCCACACAGACAGAAAAATTGAAGCAAATAGGCCGGACATTATTGTCAAAAACCAGAAAGAAAAAACTTGCCTACTAATTGATATGGCTTGTCCAGCGGATTGTAACATAGCAACCAAGGAATTTGAAAAACTATCAAAATACAAAGACCTGGAAATTGAAATAGAAAAAATGTGGAAATTGAAAACAAGAATAATACCAGTGGTAATAGGTGCACTTGGAATTATAAAAAATGGAACAAAACAACACATTGAAAGAATCCCTGGAAACCCCAGCTTAAGAGACATACAGAAAATTGTCTTATTAAGTACAGCACACACACTAAGGAGAACTTTGTCTATGTAACGCTAGCAACTTCATCGGAGATAATAAAAAAAAAAAAAAAAAAATTAACATGAAATGTGGCCATAACAACACACCACGACCTGCCTTAGGTCTTTCCGCAGACTTGGTAGGTAGTGTGTCCATAGCAGAAATCGAATGATGATGATGATAATGATAATAATAATAATAATAATACAAGACAACAAATGGCTTACTTTCATCAAATCTGGATGATAAAAATGAAACAACATGAAAACAGAAAGAAAAAAATATTCAATAATAAAACTAATTCATTTTCAAACAACATTTACATTTAGTAGATTCTGTATTAAATGTCAAAACCAACTATTGCAGCAAAAGATTGAAAAAAGAAAGCCAAGGATAAAGCCCTTGAACAGATGAAACAATGGCAAGACAAATTATGGCCAATATCCAGAATTTCCATGTTGATAAAGTTAATACTCATCGATGGTTACGAGCAAATAAATTTTGAAACTGAAATTCTACCAACTTTTATGACAAATATCATAAAATCTGGATCCAAAAACAGGTTCTATGACAAATGCAAGAAACAATAGAAAAATCTCAGGATAACAAATGAATATAAATCGTCACGAAAATGGGGAATCTACTGGACAATGTGCAAACACTTTGGAAAATAAGCAAAATTTGAACAAAGCGCCGGTTACAGAAATAGAAGATGTCACCATTCTATGGGATTATTCAAAGACAGAAAAATTAAATAGGCCGGAATTATTGTCAAAAACCAGAAAGAAAAAACTTGCCTACTAATTGATATGGCTTGTCCAGCGGACTGTAAATATTCGCAAGGAATTTGAAAACTATCTTACAAAGAAAATTGAAATGTAAATTGAAAACAAGAATTCAGTGGTCAGGGATGAATTATAAAAAATGGAACAAAACAACACATTGAAAGAATTGAAACCCCAGCTTAAGAGACATACAGAAAATTGTCTTTTTAAGGAGAACTTTGTCTATATAGCAACTTCATCGGAGATAAAAAAAAAAAAAAAAAAAAATATATATATATACAACACACCACGATATATATTTCCAAGACTTATAATTAGTGTGTCCATAGCAGAAATCGAATGATGATGATGATGATTCCAATAATAATAATAATTTTCATTCTTAAATTACACAAAATCAGGTCAATACTAATTCATTTTCAAAGGTTGTTTGTATTAAATGTCAAAAAACATTACAATTGCTATAGAAACAATATTTTTTCATAATTTTAGGGGTAGGCACAAATAATTTTTAGAAAATCTATAATATGTTACTAGAAAAATCTATAACTATAAATTCGAAAATGAATCTATAAGAGATCGAAAATTTTAAAAATGTGACGTTTATTCAAAACTAAAATGAATCAACTTTAAATTCAGTGACTTTTATTAACTTATGTAAATATTCAGTCGGGATGAATAATTTGTTCACAACTCTATCTCTTTATTATATATATATATATATATATATATATATATATATATATATATATATATATATGATATAATTGTGTATGAAATGAATTCCAATTCAATTCCTATTCTTAAAAGATCAATACAAAGTCGGATAACATAAATATGTTATAAAATCTATCCTGATAAGACATGAGGGTGTTGAAACAAAATGGATATTTTTTTGATTTTTCTCGGATTTATGTTATTTTTTATAATATATATATATATATATATATATATATATATATATATATATATATATATATATATCTGAAGATCGCGTGAAACTCGGATAACAACTAAGGCTATCCACATAAGAATTATTATTTATTTTCGGATCATATATATATATATATATATATATATATATATATATATATATACTACACATTGCAGATTTACATTTAAATATATTTACACTAGACATTTCAATTTTTCAATATTCAAATTTGTGTCAATCTTCAAATGAAGGGAGACTGCCTGCCCTGAAAATCAATAATCGTAATCTTGGTTCTCGTCTGCCTTACAACGTTAACTGGAGTTGCAGTTTGCAAATATGCAGATAGCTATTTATTCCACCGTGCTGAGGAAGAAAAAGGTACGAAGCTGGGTTGATTTAGAAAAGTGTATAAAGAGAATGTGAAAGAGAGATTAATATATGAAAAGGCTGACATATACATATAATATGTGCGTGAATATCTAGAATTAGACATCGTAAAAGAAAGCAGATGAAGAGGTTTTGTCTTTATTAATGTTCCCATAGCAACTGTCTGTTTTTTGTTTTGTTTTGGATTTTGTTCTTTTTTGTCATTAGTGCTTTTGGACTATCTTACAGTAAAGATCGATATGACCGCTTGTTCGGCATTTCCTATTCAGTTAATGACTATTTCTGATCCACGCCTGCTTTCAACCATCTCATACAAACACCTCCTACATCTCCTACTTTTGTCTCTTATTCTTGCTTCTCTTCGTCATCAAACGATTTCTTTTATCCAATCTTCGCTTTAAGCGACATGTTATTTCTCCTCTCAAAAGCATATTTATCTTTTTCAATCTTTGTCTGTCTATAAATCATCGACTCAAATTTCTCGTTTTTTTTTCATATCTATCTATCTATTTATCTATCTATCTATCTATTTATCTATCTATCTATCTATCTATCTATCTATCTATCAGTTTCTACATATCCACGTATCTGTATGTCATGTTTTTCATATCTACTTATCTGTGTACCTCAATCATGATATATATATGTATATATATGTGTGTGTGTATATCTGTGTGATAAAGCTGATATATATATATATATATATATATATACATATATATATATATATATATATATATATATATATATATATATATATATATATATATATATATATATATATATAAATAAATATATAAGTGTGAAGACATTAGTCTTTTCATATCTATATGTTACTGTAGCTTATCTATCAGATTATCTACCTTTCAGTTTGTTCACACACCCCCCCACATATGTGTGTGTGTGTGTGTACGAAAAGACTGATATATGTAAGGGTGTGTGTGTGTGTGTGTGTGTGTGTGTGTGTGAACGACTGATATATATATATATATATATATATATATATATATATATATATATATATATATACTCTTTTCATATCTATTTATCATTCTGGCTTCCGTTATTTATCTACCTGATTGTCTACCTTTCCGTATGGTCAAAACACATACACACACACACACTCACACCCATATATATATATATTAGTCACTACATATCGATCTCTATCTCATCTTCTTCATATCTACTTGTCTGTGTATTTCAATCATATATATATATATATATATAAATATATATATATATATATATATATATATATATAATTTCAATCATATATATATATATATATATATATGTTTGTATGTATATATATATATATATATATATATATATATATATATATATATCCCTGGTAACAGTTGATTTTTTTTTACTCTTGTCGCTGAATTCGATAAAGGCATTCGATATAATCCTTATTTGAAAAAATTGACGTTTGGCAATGTCATCATTATGGCGAGTGGGGCAGTACCTCTTGAATATTTATTCTTTGACACAGATATTGTATAAATATTTA